TGTGTGTGTGTGTGTGTGTGTGTGTTGGGGTGGGTGTCAGGAAGTATGCATGAGATGGAACAAAAGGTGCATGTGTGTGTGTGTGTGTGTGTGTGTGTGGTGGACCAAACCCGCCGACTGCAAGACACCTGATGTGGGTGTGTACCTGCTGCAGCCTTTGATTTGTGCTTTGAGGAGGTCATTTCGCGTCTTCTCCGCCGCCGTGTCGCACTGCCATGGTGTAAACATGCATGAAGGCACGCGCAATGGTGCACACAGCACAAAACAGCCATCATCTGCAGCGAGGCGTGGACAGCAGTACCAGCAGCAGTACACGATCGCACACACACACACACACACACACACACACACACACACACACGAACACACACACGAACACACACAACGCACACACACAAGCACACACACACACAAGCACACACACCGCGTCGCGCAGGGCCTCGAGGTGCGTGGAGATGACGGCGAGGGCGGCCATGACAGTCGGCGGTTTGGATGCACTCGCCTCCACGTGCTCAATGGCAATGCGGATGGCAAGCCGCGCCCTGTAGCCGCGCACGCAGTCGCATGCAGCACCGAATATAGTGTCACAGTGTGCCTCGGGCATGTGGATCAAACAGGGCTGTGACGAACAGCAGCAGCAGCGCCACGTAGAGCGACAGATGACAACGACGCAACACTCGTGCCCGCAGCAAACAGCAACGACACCTGACGAGAATGTAGTGGTCGATGAGGGACTTTTGTGGAGCCTTGCACCCTTGTCCTTTGGAGAGCAGCTAGACATTGTCGACACACCCGTCGGTGAGAGTGAGGATTGGCGTTGGGCAGAGTCGCACAGCATGAGCACACGGTGCAAGAGCAGCAGGTAGAGTACGCACACAAAGCATACAACTCACACATAACGTCCTACACTCTTTAACACATACCCACACACAGTATGCACATGCACGGAATACGGCACACATATACACATACATACACACACAACGCCCCACTCACCAGGAACACAATGTCGGCGACTGTTTCGAGGAGGAGGATGAGGTGTTCTGTGGATTCAGCAATGTCCTTGACCAGCTTTGGTGTTGCCTTTGTTGGGTCGGAGCCTTCCATGAGCGTGTCGTGGACGGACTTGATACAAGCAGTGAGCTTCTTGGAGTTTGCGGTCAAGGCGTCCTGACACGCTGTGAATGACATGCCGCTGATGGGCGAGTCACGATCTCGTAGCAGCAACGCTTCCAGCCCCTGCCATCGACACGACAGCGTTCATGATGAGCTCCACACACACACACACACAAGCAGTGAAACTCACGCACTGTGTCACTTCATCTCCAAACACACCACAGTACCGGCACTGCAGCACACACACACACACACACACACACACACACACACACACACACACACACACACACACACACACACACACACACACACACACACACACAAACACACACACACACACACACACACACACACACAAACACACACACACACACACACACACACACACACACACAAACACACACACACACACACAAACACACCATTTGTGCCGATGACTGGGCGTTTGAAGCGAGAAGTGCCAAGTCAACGTCTTGGTGAGCGCCCTCCGCAAGCATGGGCAGATACCCGCTCTGCCTGCGGTTGTCCGTCACAGTCCCGCCACCGCTCGACATCGTGCAAGTAGTAGGTGTGCTGGGGGAGGGAAGTGTGTTGTGCAGGGGGGGTGTGGATGGGTGTTGTGCAGCAGCAGAAATTTCAATTGTCAACAAACAAGGCAGAAGACAACAGCGGATAGCAAACTTCTGTCTCATGTCGTCGTCTGCGTTTCCGGTCAACTTTGAGGACAAGGACGATCCCTGGACACCGCGCGAGGGCACGACTGGTGCAGTGAGCATTGGTGCGGGTAGTATTAGTAGTGACTATAGTCATCAAGGAACTACCCACGGCACAGGCGAGGAACAGCTGACGGACGCACAAATCTCTGCGCTCCTTCCTCCATTGCCAGAACAGCAGGACCCAGGCCTGGCTCACCTCGGTGTGTGTCTGTGTGTATCTGTATGTGTCTGTCTGTCTGTTTGCCTCTGTGTGTCTGTGTCTGTCTGTGTGTGTCTGTGTCTGTGTGTGTGTCTGTGTCTGTGTGTGTGTCTGTGTCTGTGTGTGTGTGTCTCTCTGTGTGTGTATGAGTGTGTGTGTGTGTGTGTGTGTGCCTACTTTTCTGTCTGTCTGTCTGTCTGCCTGCTCTCCCTCTGTGGATGTGAACGGTTCATGTAGATCCAACGCGCAATGCGCCGTGCTTCCACGGCAAGCGTGTACCCGCTCACCGACGCCCCTTTCATGCTTTTGTCCTCCCGCCTTAGAGCGAAAGCTGGACCGGCTGAGAAATCCCCGCACAAGTGCAACCATGAGTGGCCCAAGGATGCTCAAGGAGATGGAGCGATCAACACAGCACCAACAACCCCACCCAGCTGCTAGTACGCACCTTTGTGTGCGAGTGTGTGTGTCTGTGTCTGTGTCTGTGTCTGTGTGTCTGTGTTTATGTTTGTGTCTGTGTCTGTGTCTGTGTATGTGCGTGTGCCGTCTGTGTGTCTGTGTGTGCCGCCTGTGTGTCTGTCTCTCTGTCTCTCTGTCTCTGTCTGCGCGTGTGCCCTTTGCTACAGATCTCACGTCCTGGCGCACGCGCGTCCGCTGTGATTGCAGGCACATCCACAGAGGCGACGTTCAACACACTTCGGACCAACGATGATCAAGCACGAGACGCAAGGTCCAACCACCACTCGCTTTTGCATTTATGTCTATGCGTGTGTGTGCGTGCGCGCTCGCTCGCTCGCTCGCTTGTCTATCTCTCTCACCCTTTCTCTCTGCTGCTTGCTGTGCATGTGGCTCACACCCTACATCTGCTGTGGTTTTCAGTTCGGAGTGGGATTCGAGCGATGACGACAATGGCTATGCAGATCTAGGGGACAGCACGGCAGAGCAGGCAAGCATGTCCACGTGCGGTTGGCTGCTGTGGTGCTGCACATGCGGCTGCTTCCGCCAGCGATCGAAGCAGCGGCCAAGGTTCCTCGGCACGGGCGTACGGCGCATGCCAAAGTCCATGGACTACAGACCACTGCTCGCCAGCGACGATGAGGATGATGAGGATGTCATCTTCTCCTCCATCACAGGCACGCCGTCCTCCAAGAACGTGTTTGACGCGGCCGCACACAGCTCCCCCCGATCACACCAACCACCACGAAGCGTCTTTGCCCTCTCAGACTCTGACTCTGACACTTCCTTCACCCCAGACGCAACACCCGTCCTCTAGTGCCTCTGCGTGTGTGTGTGTGTGTATGTGTGTGTGTGTGTGCGTGAACAAAGATCTGCTTGTGCAGCCATGCAGCAGCCATGCATGCACCATCGTTACTTTGCGCCCACCTCAACTTGCTTGCTCGCTTGTTGCTTGCTTTGCCTCCTCTTCTTCCTTGCTTGGCTGTGGCGGTTTTGGAAAATCAAATGAAATCATTCATAACAATCTGCAAGATGCCGCGGCGGACCACACAGGTTTGAGCGGGTTGTGTGTGTGTGTGTTGTGTGTTGTTGTTGGTGGTCATGCAAACCTTGTCTGTTGTGGACGTGACCCTGGGGGGGGGGATCACGCGTGATGTGTGGTGGTCCTTGAGAGCCAGTTCACTTGCATGGCGCTTGACATGCTGGTGTTTCTGCCCTGCTCACTATTGTGTGCTCGTGTCCATGTGCCACTCGCCCCTGCTCTGTGTGCGCGCGCGCGCGCGAACCTTGCACGCAACAGAAGAAGAAGCCAGTGAAGAATGGGTCTGGGTGGATCGACTCGCAGTTTGCCCGCGCCAGCCGCCGCGTCACTGCAGAGGATCTGATTGCGCGCGACGATGCAGGAGGATCATCCGCTCCAAAGCGCCAAGACGGCGGTGCGGCATGGGATTGTGTGTGCGTTGTGTGTTTGTGTGTGTGTGTGTGTCCGCTACTGTTGGGAGGAGAGACACTGCTTGGGGAGGCTGTGTGCGTGCACTGCTGCGTTTGCACTGCCACTTCGTGTAGTCTCTCGCAAGGGTCGCAAGTGCGTGGTCAGCTCACGCGTCTCGCTTTCCTCCTCACCAATCGTGTGTGACAGCTGCGCTGTGGGATCGATGTCAGCCAACGACTGCAGTGCGTTCTTGCGGACACCATGCGCTACTGCTGTGATTTGCTGCTCCCTGCCTGCACCTGCAATGCAACTCGCCGCCAATAGCACAGCCTCGCCTGCTGACGTGAACACACCTGCACTGCGTGTTGCCAATGCCTCAACACGCTCACAGGATGCACTGGCAGTCCACAAGAAGAAAGTGGATGAGGTTCGAGGCTGGCTCACACACTTCTTCTCCCGCGGCCAATCACAAGCTCTCGTACGAACACGCTTCTGTGTCAACTTGCCCTGGTGTATGCGTGTGAATGCACTTGTATGTGTGTGCGCATGTGTGCGTGTCTGTCTGTCTGTCTGTCTGTCTGTCTGTCTGTCTGTCTGTCTGTGTCTTTGTCTGAGTGTGTGCGGCTGTAGCTTTAACGAGGCTGCACTCTTCTGTGCGATGTTGTATCGCTGTGCTCCGTTGCATCAGGCGTCGAAGGTGCTTGTGCTGATCGGGCCCTCCGGGTGCGGCAAGACCGCCACCCTGCGCGTGGTCTGCCGCGAGCTCAACTGCACCATCCTGGAGTGGATCAACCCCGTCTCGCAGCAGCGCGTCGCCTTTGATCGAGCAGGTCGCACGCCACACACATATATGCGTGTGCACGTGCGAGTGTGTATTTGTGTGTACTGCTCCGTGTTTGCTGTTCTGTGTGTGCGAGTGTATTTGTGTGTACTGCTCCGTGTTTGCTGTTCTGTGTGTGTGTGTGTGTGTGTGTGTGTGTGTGTGTGTGTGTGTGTTTGGCTCATCCGCGGTGGTTCTGCTTTCGCTCACTGTGTTCCCGCAACCCACAATGACAGGCGAGGTGTGGTGGGAGTCACAGCGTGCACAGTTTCAGGTGAGTGTGTGACCGCGGTGCATGACAGGAAGGGTTGAAGTCATGCGCCCCTGCCGCATGCACACGCATTCACCACTTGCACCCATCCCATCTCACCATCATCGCACCTCATCACACCTCATCACACTTCATCACCACCACCATCAGTCCTTTCTGCTGCGCTCCCGCAAGTACCGTGCCCTCTCCATTGGCGACACGACCGCAACTACTTCAAAGCAGCTCATCTTGGTCGAGGTGCGCAGATGTGTCCTATACATGTGTGTGTGTGTGTTTGTGTCGTGTGCGCCGGGTGAAGCATTGCGATGCAGCGCGTTCATCATCGTCTTATCTTTGCTGGCTGTCTCAACACGCGTGTACGTGTGTGCACATGTGCAGGATTTGCCAAACTACCTTCGATCGCAGCACGAGGTCCCCGCATTTCATGATCTCCTCAGGTACTCCATTGCACCCGCTCATGCGTGTGTGTGTCTGTGTGTCTGTGTGTCTGTGTGTGTGTGTGTGTGGGTGGGTGGGTGTGTGGATGGGTGTGTGTGTGTGTGTGTGTGTGTGTGTCGGGTAGGGATGAGCGGCTGCGAAACTTGACGCTTGGTTGTTCGCCCAATGCCTTTATTGTGTTTTGACGAAACACATCATTCGCACGCGCAAACGTACGCACACACACGCAACACGTATTCCGTCAACCATTTCCGGCCTTCATTGCTCTGTGTGTGCAGATCATACAACGCCGCTGCTGTTGCGCCGCTTGTGTTTGTCCTCACAGAGGAGCACTTGGGCAGGTGCGTGTGTTGAGTGTGCGTGTATGTATGTATGTATGTATGTATGTATGTATGCATGTGTGTATTTGCCTGTGTTAATGTGCACCTTTCACACATGCCGTCTCCACTCGCGTGCACATCGATTCTCACACGCACACTTCTCCGCCACACACACACGCACACACCTGCAGCCTGGGCCACGCTGTGTCGCGGCTGTTTCCGACAGTGGTTGAGCTGCAGGGCGTCTTCAACACCATCAGGTGTGTCTGTCTGCCTGTGTGGTTGTGTGTCTGTACGTTTGTGTGTGTAGGTTTGTGTCTGTCTGTCTGTGTTTGTATTTGTCTCTCCTCTCTCTGCCTGCGCTCAACTGTGCGCGTATGTTGTTTGTGCTGACCGTTGGGTGTGCTGCTGCTTGTCAGGTTCAACCCAGTTGCCCCAACAAAGATGGAAAAGGCCCTCACCACCATGTGCACCATCGCCAAAATCGACGTCAGTGTGCATGGCTGTGTGTATGTGTGCGTTTGCGTTGTTTGCGTTGTGTGTGCATGTGTCGTGTGTGTTGTGTTGTGTGCATTGTGTGTGCGTGCCTGTTGCGCGCGTCTCTGCTCACTTCACTCCACTCACCCCGTCCATCCCTCCAACTCGCCTCCCAACCCTCAAACCTTTAATCCCAATCCCCCTTAACTCCACGTACCCAATCCCCCCTCCATAGGCGCCGCGCTCGAGTCTGAAGGAGATTGCTCTTCAGGCTGACGGCGACATTCGCGCGGCGTGCAACGCACTCCAGTTCCTCCATCGCCCACGCAGAGGTGTCTGTGTGTGTCTGTGTGTGTGTGTGTGTGTGTGTGTGCGTGCGTGTCTGTTTGTGTGTTTGTGTGTATAGTGTGTGTGTGTGTGTGTCTGTGTCTGTGTGTGTCTGTGTGTGTGTGTGTGTGTGTGTGTGTGTGTGCGTGCGTGTGTGTCTGTTTGTGGCTCTGTGACTGTGTGTGGCTCTGTGACTGGTGCTCGCACTGTGTCTGCCTGCAAGATTCCTGCTACGCTTCATCGTGACCTTGGATTTGCTTCGCCATCCCCCCTGACTTGTCCGTGTTTTGCCAACAGGCGCCGCGCTGCCAAAACAGACACGAAAGCGATCAAAACGCAGCAAGACCCGTGCTGCCTCTTCTTCTTCGTCGTCCTCTGCCCCGTCAGCGTACGTTCTGCTGTGGCTTTCGAAGAGCCATCATACTCTCATGTTGGATGCGATTTGGTCGTTGACACAGACAATGTGCAGTTCACACATGAGTTGCGCTTGTTCTCCCTCCACGACGCGCACACACACTCACTCACTCACTCACACACTGACTTACACACACGCTCACGTGCACGCACCGTACCCCACCGTGCCGTCCTGTCACCGCCGTTGTCACTGTGCAGGGCCAAGGCCGTGCGTGGGCGCGACACGTCCATGCGCTTATTCCACGCCGTCGGCCGCATCCTCCGCGCTCGCAGACGCCCGCCAGGTGACCCGCGTCGCTGGTCGTGGTGGTGGTGGTGGTGGTGGTGGTGGTGTGTGTGTGTGTGTGTGTGTGTGTGTGTGTGTGTGTGTGTGTGTGTGTGTGTGTGTGTGTGTGTGTGTGTGTGTGAGTCCAGCGGTTATGTCGTGTGTGTTCTCTTTGTGGCCTTGATCGCCTTTTGCTTCTGCTGCGGTGAATGAATGCTTACAATCGTGACATACCCGTACACCTCCTGTCATACCTGCCTCCACAGCGTCGAGTGGCGGTCCATCCCAGGACCCGCGGCCCAAAACGCCGAAATTCATGACGCAACAACCCTGGTCGCAGTCGCCGGTTGCATCACAGTCATCGACACCGCCCACCCTCTCCCCCGTGCGCTCACAGCCAGCAGCAGCGCGCAGGAGACCCCCAGACGCAGGTGGCGGTGGCGGTGGACTGTTGATGACGACACCGGCACCGGTCCAGCTTCCGCCCCACCTTCAGCACATGCATCGTGATCCGCTTGATGCAGTCACCACGCCAGAGGTGCGACAGCTGCTCGCGTGTGCATGTGTTGGCGAGGGTGCGAGTGAGGAAGCATTGTGCGTGGCTGTTTGTGTGTGTGTGTGTGTGTGGGTGTATGTGTTTGCCTCTGTGTGTGTGTGTGTGCGTGCGTGCAAAGGCGTGCTCACCGTTTCTGCGCGCACGTGTGTGCGTGTTTACGTTGTTGTGGTGTTCAGGAGACGTTGCGGCAGTCGTGCGTCTCTACACAGCGATTTTCCCAGTTTCTCCACCAAAACTACATTGACTACTTTGCAGACTTTGAAGACCTGGTACGCACATGAGTGGACGTGTGCCTGCGTCTGTGCCTCTGTGTGTGAGTGTGCGTCTGTATGTGTGTGTGTGCGTCTGTGCCTCTGTCTGTGTGTGTGTCTGTCTGTCTGTGTGTTTGTGTCTGTCTGTCTGTCTGTCTGTCTGTGCGTGCTTCACTCTCCGCGCTCCTCACCCTTCGCTGTGTGTGTGTATGTGCAACAGCTGCAAGCGGCGGATGCGTTCAGTTGCGCCGACCTCTTCAACACTGACAGCGCCGCAAACGTGCGTTGTGTATATATGTGGCTGTCTGTCCGTCTGCCAGCCTGTCCGTCTGCCAGCCTGTCTTAAGACCTCCTGCTCCCTTGGTTGTGCTTGAACCCATCCTCCTCTTCGCTCACTCTTGCGTTGACTCGTCTGCTCACGGTTTCGTTCCCCCTGCCCGGGATATTCCGTTTCCCAAACACCATCCCCTCCTCCTCCTCCTCCTCCTTCTTCCCCCTTCCCCCTCTTGCTCCGCCAGTCGTCTGTCGCCTCGGAGTACTTTGGCATGACGCTTGCGCGCGAGCTTGTCTTCTGCAACACATCCCCGCTCGTCTCCGGCTGGCGGCCTCTCAGGAAACCCGTCGACTTTGACGCAGCACGCACGGTGCGCTTCCATGTGTGTGTGTGTGTGTGTGTGTGTGTGTGTGTGTGTGTGTGTGTGTGTGTGTGTGTGTGTGTGTGTGTGT